AACAATGGTTCACTTAGTGACTACTCAAAGTTACAACTTCACTGAAAAAAAGTGACATGGCCATTTTTCACAGTTACAACCATTTCAGCGTCCCTGTGGTCATGCGATCAAATTCAGACCCTTGGCAACTGACTCATATTTATGACAATGAAAATGTTCCAGGGATCATGTCACTGCCTTTTGCGACCTTCTGACAAGCAACGTCAATGAGAAATCCAGATTCAATACTAATTTAAGAACTGCACTGATTCACTTAACGACTCTGGCAACTCATTTATTAAATGGCTCGCTTAACAACAGAAATGCTGGGTTCCATCGTGGTTGTAAGTCAAGGACTAGCTGCATTCGTGATCATTTGAGGTCTGTTCGGTTTTCACACATAAACTGCAGCTTTGGGTGGAGAGTTGATGGATAAATGCTTTACCTTGGCACGGTACAGGTATATAGTCCTCAACTTACAAGAGTTCTTTTAGTGACCGTTTGAAGTTTCAACAGCACGTATGGCTATTTTTCACACTTATGACCGTTGCAGCATCCCCATGGTCATGTAAACAAAGTTCAGACATTTGGCAACTGGCATGTATTTGTGAAAATAGGGTTTTCCCAAGATCATACGATCTTCTTTTTTGAGCCTCTGTGGCGCAGTGGTTAGAGTGCAGTACTGCAAGCTACTTCTTCTGCAGCCAGCTGCCTACAATTTGGCAGTTCAAATCCCACCAGGCTCCAAGTTAACTTAGCCTTCCATCCTTCTGAGGTAGGTAAAATGAAGACCCAGATTGTTGGGGGCAAGAGGCTGACTCTGTAAACCGCTAAGAGAGGGTTGCAAAGCACTGGGAAGCAGCATATAAGTCTTTAGTTCTATTGCTATTTTCCTCCCTCCCTCCCTCCCTCCTTCCTTCCTTCCATGGTGTGCAATGGTTAGAATGCAGTATTGCAGGCTAACTCTGCCCACTGCTAGCAGTTCGATTCCTACTGGCTCAAGTTTGACTCAGCCTTCCGTCCTTCCGAGGTGGGTAAAATGAAGATCCAGATTGTTGGGGGCAACAGGCTGACTCTGTGAACCGCTTAGAGGAGGCTGGAAAACAGTGTGAAGCAATTAAGTCTAAGTGCTATTGCTATTTTCCTTCCTTCCTCCCTCCCTCCCTCCCTTCCTTCCATGGTGTGCAGTGGTTAGAATGCAGTATTGCAGGCTAACTCTGCCCACTGCTAGCAGTTCGATTCCCACCAGGCTCAAGGTTGACTCAGCCTTCCATCCTTCCAAGGTGGGGAAAATGAGGACCCAGATTGTTGGGGGCAAGAGGCTGACTCTGTATACCGCTTAGAGAAGGCAGTAAAAGCACTGTGAATTTTGTGACCTTCCGACAAGCAAGGTCAATGGGGGAATCCAGCTCCATCTAACAACCATGTTACTAACTTATCAACTGCAGTGATTCACTTAACTGTGGCAAGAATGGTCATAAAATAGGGCTAAACTCACTTAACTGTCTTGCTTAACAACAAATTTTGTGGTCATAAGTCGAGGACTAACTAGTTCAGTGTTTGGGAATACATTGATAGGGTAGGATTTGCATAAAGCAAACATTACATATGCATGAAAAAATGTAGCAACCTTTGGAAAGCTACCACTATTGTCTTTCTGCTTCCAGGCCATGAAATTTCCTCTCTGACATAGGTTCTATCTTAAGCTAGCAACGATAGCGAAGGAAAGCAGGAATAAGGTTCAGATCAGTTCTGTTTTTTCCCCCTTTGCTTCTAGAAATGTCAAGAGTGCCTTGTGCGTATTTGTTTTTCCATCACCATTTCTTTACAATTATGCAGGAACTGGGAACATTTCCAAATCCTGCCTTGGGGTTATTTGTGAAGAGAACCTATTTTCCCTTTCCGTTCTGGGCAGGCTGACTTTCCAAGATGTGATTGTAATATAGTGCTAAAAGGTGCTGGACTAATGTGGATTCAAGTTCATTCTTGTGCATAGAAGCTTCCTGGCTGATTTTAAACCACTTTCTCAGCCAAACTGATCTCCTTAAACGCCAGAAATAAATTAGAATATAATCCAATTTTTTTTTTTTTAAAAATGGTTGAATCATAGTCTCCTGTCAAGTCATACCAGTTAGAGTATTACAAGAACGTGTCTTCTCATAAGGATTAATCAGAATAGAGCTGGAAGGACCTTGGAGGTCTTCTAGTCCAGCCCCCTGCTCAAACAGGAGGTCCTATACCATTTCAGACCAAGTGCCTGTCCAGTCTCCTTAAAAAGCTCAAGTGATGGAAGCACCCACAACTTTTGGAGGCAAACTGTTCCACTGGTTAATTGTTCTCATTGTTAGGAAGTTCCTCCTTACTTCCCGGTTGCTTCTCCCCTTGATTAGTTTCCACCTGTTGTTTCGTGTCCTGCCCTCTGGTGCTTTGGAAAATAAATTGACCCCCTCCTTTGTTGGCAATGCCTCAAATCCTGGAACACTG